TTCTGGGCCAGTACAAACCATTATCTGGAAATCTATTCATAAACAGGGCTATACATAGGACACAAGGTCACGCATTTAGGCTGGAAGAAAGGAGAAAGAACTATAAGGATGTGGAATTCTCTGCCTGAAGAGGTAGTTTTATCAGAGTCCATACAGATGTTTAAACAGAAAATGGATAAATACTTGTAAAAACATAACAATACAGCGATATAGATTCTAATTAGTAGGGTAATATCTGCTTGATCCAAGGAGATATCTGACTGCCATTTTGGGGTCAAGAAAGATTTTTGTCCTAGTTTGTTGCAAAATTGGAAGACTGGGTTTTTTGCCTTCTTTTGGCTCAAAACATATGTGACTAAGACTGAACTTGATGGATGCAAGTCTCTTTATAGCTATGTAACTGTAATTCCATGAACTAGACGGATCCCTGTATAAATTCTCAAATGCTGATCAGAAGGGGTTGTTGCAGAATTGACTGAATATAGTCTCGTAATTGTCTGTATAGAAAAATATGCATAAATGAAATGTGATTCTGCCATCAGTGACCCTAAAGATATTATTCACTCAGACCCAGTGCAAAGTTGTCATTATGTGTCAAGGGCAAGGGGAGGGAACATCATCAGGACAACTTTTGCAGCATAACTGTGCCAGACCAGAAGTGTGGTTTTTACATATGGTTGTAGGTTTCCCAATTTCCAGTCTACCGTCTGTTAAAGCCAAGGTTGCGCTGTTAAAGGTATCCCCACCATAACCTGTTGGTGTCTGTTTCTCCCATTACAGTATCCATAATAGGTGACACGTAATGTAGTACAATTTGAAGTCAAGTAGAGCCAGGCCCCCCTTCACCCTTTGGCTGGTTCAATTGGTCAAATTTTTGACATGATCTCCTACGCCTCCAGAAATATGGCACCCAACATGTAAATCAAGGCCTGAGTATGAAGTTGAGACGTGTGGTAACATATACACAGAGGGAAAAAAGTATTTGATCCCCTGCTGATTTTGAATTTTTTCCCACTGACAAAAAAAATGATCAGTCTATAATTTTAATGGTATGTGTATTTTAACAGAGACAGACAGAATGGCAAAAAAAAAAAATCCAGAAAAACACATATCAAAAAAGTTATACATTGATTTTCATGTCAATGAGTGAAATAACTATTTGACCCCTTCGACTTAGTACTTGGTGGCAAAACCCTTGTTGGCAATCACAGAGGTCAGATGTTTCTTGTAGTTGGCCACCAGGTTTGCACACATCTCAGGGGGGATTTTGTCCAACTCCTCTTTGCAGATCCTTTCTCTCATTAAGGTGTTGAGGCGGACGTTTGGCAACTTGAACCTTCAGCTCCCTCCACAGATTTTCTATGGGATTAAGGGCTGGAGCCTGGCTAGGCCACTTCTTCTTGAGCCACTCTTTTGTTGCCTTGTCTGTGTGTTTTGGGTCATTGTCATGCTGAATACCCATCCACGACCCATTTTCAATGTCCTGGCAGAGGGAAGGATGCTTTCACCCAAGATTTGCCGGTACATGACCCCGTCCATCATCCTTTTGAAGCGCTGCAGTAGTCCTGTCCACTTAGCAGAAAAACACCCTCTAAAAATTTTTCCACATCCATGTTTGACGGTGGGGATGGTGTTCTTGGGGGGTCATAGGCAGCATTCCTCCTCCTCCAAACACAGCTAGTTGAGGCCAAAGAGCTTGATTTTGGTCTCACTTTCATCCAGTTCTCCTCTGAATCATTCAGATGTTCATTGGCAAACTTCAAACAGGCAGATACATGTGCTTTCTTGAGCAAGGGGACCTTGCGGGCACTGCAGGATTTCAGACCTTCACGGCGTGTTACCAATTGTTTTCTTGGTGACTATGGTCCAAGCTGCCTTAAGATCATTAACAAGACCCACCCATGTAGTTCTGGGCTGATTCCTCACCATTCTCACGATCGTTGAAACTCCACGAGGTGAGATCTTGTATGGAGCACCAGACCGAGGGAGATGGACAGTTATTTTGTGTTTCTTCCATTTGTGAATAATCACACCAACTGTTGTCATGGTGGAGAGTTTGAAATCTGATTGCTTCTGTGGACAGGTGTCTTTTATACAGGTAACGAGCTGAGATTAGGAGCACTCCGTTTAAGAGAGTGCTCTTAATCTCAGCTAGTTACCTGTAAAAAAGACTCCCAGGAGCCAGAAAGCTTGCTGATTTATAGTGGATCAAATACTTATTTCACTCATTGACGTGCAAATTAATTTATTACTTTTTTGATGTGTTTTTCTGGATTTTTTTTTTTTTTTAATTCTGTCTCTCACTGTTTAAATACACCTACCATTAAAATTATAGACTGATAATTTCCTTGGCAGTTGGCAAACGTTTAAAATTAGCAGGGGATCCAATACTTTATTCCCCTCACTGTATGTCTGCAATTTCATAAAGTATGGCCTGCACAACCTGACACAGAGTTTTATATTCTATTTCCCACTACTACTCTCTGTCACCAATGACAATTGGCATATGTAATGAATGCCTATAGCACTGCCTCATCTCATCCTGCAGCTACTTGCAAACATTTTCAGAGAAAACTTAGTCTAGCTGCATTGTTAGCCCTATATACTGCAGTACTGAAATATCCTTGTGAGCCAGTCATGGAATAAAAACATTATGATCGGGGTTACCAGTCCATGCACACACCCATACATTGCTGTAAAAAGGATACAAAGTATAAAGTGAGCAAGCATCTTCAAAATTAATATGGAAATTATATAATCACAAAGCAATTGTTTTTTAGATAGAAAAACAAGATGGCATAACAAAAAAACAAAAACAAAAAAAAATACTTCCGGGTCAATAGATTTCAGTATCAGAAAAAAAAATTAATTTGTGGAGAATTCCAGGTGGGATTCTATCTATTTTAACATTCATTGCCTTAAACTCTGGCTTGGCAAGAAAATAAAAAAAATGCAAAGAGAAAAGAAGAAAAAAAACCCCCTCAACATAGAATTATTTATTCAAATATACAAATCATAGTTCTGTATTCCAATGGAAACTACAAAAATAGAGCATTGCGTACTACCCTCAAAAAAGAAAGAAAAACAAGACATACCAAGACACAGTGTCAATAACACCATGGGAGGGAGATGAATAAGGGGAGTAAAAAGCAAAGTAAAACAAAAATTGAAGGTGAGAATGTAAAGCAAGGGAGGAAAGTTTATGGTGTTAGTGTTTCAAAATTCAAGAAGATTCGTGGGGGATAGTGAAGCAAAGTACTGCTTCCATGGGTACAAAAATTTAGAATGGGAGGTTGCCCCAAATATTGGCTGATAAAACAGATTTTTTGCAGCAGTGCCGCATAGCTAGTGCTTTCCATGCACAAGCAAAACAGGTCCTTGCAGTGGTACATTTGTGGCCATTTTCATTTATGGTCATACATATTGACAGTTTGTAGCAATTATCTAAATTTTACAGGTTACATCATTGGTTCCCAAACTGTGTGCCACAGCGCCCTGGGGCACATAGGGGAGTTGCGCGATTTGTGCCCCCCTTTCCCCTGCAGGTCCAGAGGGGAGATTAGAGTAATGCTGGCAGCCAGCAGGGGAGGGAGGGAGAGAAGACCCGTGGGAGCTCTAACCTGCAGCTCCTCCGGGTTCTCCTCTCATGAGTTCGGAGCGTTGCTGTGGTTACCATGACAATGCTCCAAATCTCGCGAGAGTGAACTCTAGCAGCTCCTGAGGGCTGCTAGAGTTCACTGTCACCACTAGGACCACAAGAGCTTCCCCACTGGACCACCAGATATTGCAGGAAATGTCCCCCCTCTCAGGCAAAGGTAAGCAGGGAGGTGGGAAATTAAAATAATTATTTCTAATAAAAAAAATATATATATATATATATATATTTATGAATTTTCCCTCCTACCCCCAGAGACACAATAAGTCCCCCCCCATACACAATCTGTACCCCACACACACTGCCCCCCACATACACACTGACTGTACCCTTCATACAACCTGCTCCCAACCCCCACACACTGTACCCCTTATGCACAAGCTGCCCCACATACACACACACACAGCCCCTTTCCCCTTCTAGAGCCCCTATCCCAGCAAATCCTGGGTAAGTTGTCAAACTATTCTTAAACAGTTTGACTACCTACTCTGGGAGGGCACTACCGGCATCATAACCACTACAAAGGGCTGTAGTGGTTATTGTGCCCGGATTGTTTCTTTAAATAATCTACCAGTACACTTCCCAAGATTAGGTTCTGGATCTGCGCTTGAACGGCATGCACTTCTCCCGAACAGGGGCGCAGAATATGCTGTTGCACTGTACATATATACAACTTAGAACATTTTTTGACTTGGGGTGTCTTGGTAAAATATTAAGGGTGCCTTAAACCTAAAGTTTGGGAGCCACTGAAATATAAGGTATCAGAAAACCCTATTTGCCCTTCAAATGCATGGCTAAATTTTAAAATAACACTCCTACCTCCTTAACACATCTTTACTCAAATACTAATTATCAAGCATCATTCAAGGCAATGTGCTGCATTTCTTGAAGCCACCTTCTATCCTTTGTCTCTTCTCAATTTCTACGCTACATGATAATCCCCACTTTTTCTAACACATTCGCTTGTTTTTGCATACTATTAGTTTCCATATTCTAAGTTTGGTAATGAGCAGTTTGACAGCTAACATTTCCAGGGAGACATAGATTAGCAACTCTTCCATGTGACTTCACAACTGTAGGATTGCTTCTAGAATAGTGCATACTATAAGGCATTTTGCGATTCATTTGAAATTCTGTTATTACTGCTTCTTGTTCTGCTCTCCACTGTTATCCTTTTTTGCCTATTTTAAAACTAAAAACACACATACATTCTATACTGCCTCTGAATGCTAAACTAAGTAGATCATGTAGCTGAACTCTAAAATAATGAGTGTGGATCTATACGTTGTATCCATTATTTTGCATTCCATGAAAGTAGGACTCACCATACAAATCAATATTATAGAAAACTTTTTTATTTAAAAAAAAAAAAAAAATATCAACAGGTATACAAACCGACTAGTTTCAGAAACTAAACTAATTATTGAAGAGCATATCAACTTTAAGAGGTATTCTCTTGGATTTAGAAATGGTTAAGCAGAATGCCAGGTTTATTTAATATGGTTTTCTGTTCGTTTATCGTCAGTGATGACGGCAAACAGCACAACGGTTCTAAACTTTTTTTACATTCCAAATCCTTGTGAAATCAGTCTCCACTGGATACAGCCCCGCTGCAAACAGAGACTGACCACCTCCAAAATACCTATTCTATATCTTTAAGGGTATAAACTTGAGGTTGTCACACACTAAGCACAGGGAAGAGAAAGACCAAATGTCTCGTTAGCAACCAGTAAATGTTCATTTCTGAGGTAGCATGTTAATACTGCATTGTTTTGATGGGTATAAAATTTCTTTCCCAAATAATTTGAGTAAGGTTCCATAAGTTACATATTTCACAGATTTTCAGGTTACATAGCAAGACAACTTGGCAGCTGAAAAGGCATGTGCCTACATTGGAAGAGGTAAGTTGTACAGTCAAAACCTAAAAATAGACATATGCAAATTAGAGCATAATCATGTTATTTTGCCACTGATAAAATATGAATAGTCTCTTCTTTGATTAGACACAAATGAACACTCAGGCAATTAAATGTTTGGGAGCAAACAAACTGCAGCCAAAAAATCCAAAAATATCCTAATGAAACAAAACTGAACAAATTCTGTCCATAGTACAAGCTTGAATAGGTCAAAAGAAAATAAAGGTCTTGAGTGTGTGGCCTCCTTTTCACTGCTGGGATAGTAACATCCCAGAAAATTAAGTTGCTTGGTTAAAAAAAAGAGAAAAAAGTTGGAAGTGGTTTATCCTCCTACTACCAAGAACAATGCATTTTTGAAACTTGAAAGTGTTGCCTGGGTAGTCTTATGACAAATACTAAATAATGAGATTGCTTAATGCTGTTGATATTCATGGCTCTAGAATCTAATGTCTGGCATAAATATAAATACAGACCTGAGGATTTTTTTTTTGGCTGAAAGGGAATATTATTGGCTTGACATTCAAACACGTACTTAACAAAATAAAAAAATACAAATCTGCCATCATGCTCTAAATGTTGAAGAACTGCTCAGGAGATTGAGAACCTTCTTGTTCTACTTGATGGTGACTACCTCATTAAACAATAACAAACCTAGACTTTTTGTTTGGATGCAACCTGATTAACATTATACCACAGTTAACAGCAAACTCCTGTGAAAGATGAGAAAAAAAAATGATAAACACAGACAGTTGTCTGAGTGTGAGGAGGCACTGTTAAAATAACAAAATTGATATAAAATATCCTTTGAACACAATAAAGGACACAAAGAAGCATTATTACTTTTGTCTGAAAACATATACTTTTTGTAGTAGAGATGGGTTGTCAGGGAGCTAGTGTTGCAGCACAAAGTCGAGAAGGTGATATTAGAAAGTCCGGAAGAGCCATGTTGGTCATAGAGAAAGTGCTCAGTGGGAGATCCAGCCCCACTAAATCAGACACGACAGGAAGCTCTTGAGTAGGGTATTCAAGGCGGTTGAGGTCATTGGGGAGTACAGAAGCTTCCTGGTGATGCTCACAGGATGGACCAGAAAGATGTTGATGTCTGGAGGAGTACTGATCTTCGTTGGAAGAGCCATTAACACAGAGTGAGCAGTTCTGAGTATCTGGTGTATCTATAGTATACCAAGAAAAAAAAAAAAAAAAAAGAAAAAGAAGAGGAGAGGGGCCAATGTAAAAAAAGTAAACCATATAATTTTGAGGAGAACAGCAAAATAATGCCATGCATAAGGAAACGTATAAAACGGGTTCTGGAAGGGTAGGGATATATATGCGATACCTGAATTTCCAAAACTCTCCCGACTGCTATGCAGAGATTCCTGCATTCCAAATGGGCGCTCAGATACTGGCATGTCACATTCGTACTCGCTAGGAGAGAAAGCATATTCAACAATCATACAGCAAGAAAATACCACAAACAAAGACATTTATTTTAGTATGAGCATAATTCATGAATGTAGCACCCCAACACTCACAAAGTTGGTGGTATCCAATGTTTCCTTCTTCCCTGACGACTTTTTTCAAATAATTCAAAACGTTTTGACTTCTTCCAGGAGTAATAGTATTGCACACACTCCCCTACTGATCTTGTTCGAACCTGGTGGAGGATAGAAAAAGAAAAGTCACAATTACAAGCTAATATTCAGGTTGTTTTTTTGTTTTAATCTTTGGGTTCCTAGCTTTCTCACAAAGTGGAAAATAGACGCAATACAGTACAATCAGATTGTGCTCAGGAGTGACATTTGTAAGTTGTCTCCATATGCATTGTCTACAAGGAACTTAGTATTTTTTTTTAATTAAATTAGTTTTTGTTTACTTTCTTGTTGTGCTCTTCTATTAAAACGGACACACATGGCACTATAACCACTTTCTATGACATATGGACTCTAATAGGGCAAAAAACGTGATTGACAAAAACGTGTTTCCTAAACACAGAAATCCACCTCTCTCTCAGCTTTGCAAGTTACTTTCCTCATTATCCACGTAAAATATTCAGCAGGATTCCATTGCTGAATTGCTACATTTTGACAACTTAAAATTGACAATGCTTATTTATCTTTTATGACATGATGATGCTTTACAATTTACAAACAGTGTTTGCATGTCTACTCTGTACATATACTACATTTTAAATTATTAATGAATGTTGTTATGGGCACCACATGTTCACTTGACTGGTAAAGTAATTTAAAAAAAAGAAAAAGTTTGACGTTGGACCTTTCTCCCCCACCATTAACCCCTTAACGCTGTTACATGCCATCCCCATCCTAATGGGCTTTAAAGCCGTTGCAGCGGCATAGAACCCCGTAACGGCTATCTACCCCAGGAGGTCCGCAGTACTTACATCTGCCGTGATACTCTTCGAGAGGACTGCCTGACAGCCCAGTCAGCCCTCCCATGGCATAACAGGCCCCCGGGGGCCATGTGATCGCTCTCAAAAGAGCGATCATATGACCCTCTGGGCTGTCAGACAGTCCCCCTTCTGGTGGGTAGTGTAAAGTAAAAAAAAAAAATTAAAAAAAATATTAAACAAATAAATTAAATGCACATGTAAATTACATAAATAAGTTTCATTCTAGCTGTATTTTGTTATATATATATATATATATATATATATATATATATATATATATATATATATATGTAACAAAATACACTTAGAATGGCATTCTGTATATATCTATCTATATATAAAATACAAATAACCGCAAATATATGTATATAGATAAATATATATGATTACATTAATGATTAAATAAGTATACACGTAGAATTTAAATACATACATATATATATATATATTAAAATTCTATGTGTATATTTAAGTAATCTTTTAGCATAATTATGTGATTTTATTAATTAAAGTTTAATTAACATGCCTGACAACCCAGGCAGAAAGTTCTGAGAATTTAATTCGCAAGCACTATATTTAACCCTGTAACTTTCCAACCATAAAACCTGCACATGGGGGGTACTGTTTTACTCTGGAGACTTCACTGAACACAAATATTAGTGTTTCAAAATGGTAAATTGTATTACAACGATGATATTTTTAGTAAAAGTTAAGTTTTTTGCATTTTTCACACATGAACGGCACTTTTACTGACAATTTTTTTATTATAATACATTTTACGGTTTTGAAACACTAATATTTGTGTTCAGTTAAGTCTCCCAAGTATAACAGTACCCCCCCATGTACAGGTTTTATGGTGTTTTGGAAAGTTAGAAAGTCAAATATAAGGCTTGCATTTCATTTTTTTCACATTGAAATTTGCCAGTTTGGTAATGTTGCCTTTGAGACATATGGCATACCATTTGCAAAAGTAGGGAACCCAAGGTATTGCAAGTGGGGTATGTCCAGTCTTTTTTAGTAGCCACTTAGTCACAAACACTTGCCAAATATTAGTATTTTGCTTTTTTCACACAAAAACTAATATAAATGCTAAGTTTGGCCATTGTTTGTGACTAAGTGGCTACTAAAAAAGACTGGACATACCCCACTTGCAATACCTTGGGTTCCCTACTTTTGCAAATGGTATGCCATCATGGGGATAATTCTCATTCCTGGGCTACCACACGGTCTCAATTGTAACATTACTAATCTAGCAAATTTTAATTTGAAAAAAATTAAAAATTGAATGTGCTATATTTGACCCTGTAACTTTCTAAAACACTGTAAAACCTATTAAAGGGGGGTACTTTTGTACTTGTTAGACCTTGCTGAATACAAATATTTGCATTTTATTGCAGTAAAAGTAAACAGTATTATGACATTTACAGCTAAAATGTGAGGAGAAGCTACAAATTAAAAAAAAAAAAAAAAATCTTAATTTCTCCCAGTTTTTTTGATTTTATTCATAATAAATTATGTTTTATAAACAAATAGTTCATGAGAAATTAAAGCCTGGTTTCTCCTGAATAAAATGATATATAAGAAGTGTGGGTGCACTTAATATGAGAGAGGTGAATTACGGTTGAACAGACATAGTGCGAATTCCAGTTTTCATTTACATTTTGTTTTGATCAGAACGTGTACTATTGACTCCGCCCTGAAAGGGTTACTTAGAATATTATTTGTGTTCAAGCCAATGTATACTATTAAACATCAACAAACATCAACAAACCGCTGTAGATGATTTGTCCATTGTTCTTAAAAGCTTTATTACCCGCTGAACTGATTGGTTACAGACAAATGTCAGAAGGCCATGCAAATAGGGGAATAAAGGGGCGAAGATCTGTCTGTACTACAAGGAGGCCTAATAATTTGCCCAACATGCCTATACTTTCATTTCATCTACAACATCTACAACTAAACTCTTAGTTACTTGTTACAGTTTCCAGCTTTTTTGGAAGGTGTTATGGTCCATCGTTTAGTAATTTCTTACCTTATTGGCTTGAATGAGGTGGAAGTTCTTGCCATAAACACGGAACCCTTGCTCGAAATTCCTACGCTCATCCTCACTCCACGCAAATAGACCACCTAACATTTTAGGGTGACAAAACAAACCCAGCAACTAAAGATCAGAACTATAAAATATAGTTTTGCAGTTATAGAGATTCATATATGGTCTTCCTTTTTGCAATTTGCCAGAAATATTTTTATATTTGGAAAACCATAAACATATGCAGCTTTGCTCCATCCATTTATCATCTTTAAAACATGAAGAGGGATACAAACCAAGAAACAAAAGTACATTTTCTATGGGAGTGCTGCAACACAAGAAACATATCTGCAAACTGACACAAAAACGTGTGTTCTTTATTGTTGTCATTCTCAACAATAAATCATCCAATTCCTGATAAATGCAGGTGGCATATGTTCCTTTATCTTTGCATTTTAAGTCATCTCCATAATGCAATATAAATAATAAGAGTACTATTCCAGCCTGAGATGACTCATTATGCCTAAAATGGAATTACTCAACATTTGAAAAAGCAAATTCTATGGTTTGTATGTGAAGACATTCAAGAGAAATAATTTATTCTGGTATGGTGTAGATATTATAAAGATAACCAAATAGTAGTAATGGATGTAACTCAGATGATAGAGTGGTTTGCTCCCCTATGCATGCATTTTCCAAAACAAATGTTAGTCCTGATTAATTAAGAAGTCATGTAACATCTGTCATGATGTGAAGGTACTAAACCTCCTTAACCGCTTAAGAACATTGCTTAAGAAACTTGTCTTGCACTCAAGGATACACGCAATTTTTGCTATTTGTGCAAAATTTGTGTTTGCATCTTTTTCATTTTTTTGCACAAACAGCAAAAAATGCTTGTATCCTTGAGTGCAAGACAAGTTTCTTAAAGGATTAAGGAGGTTTATTTAGTACCTTCATATCATGGCAGATGTTACATGACGTCTTAAAGGACTACTCTAGGCACCCAGACCACATCAGCTCAATTAAGTGGTCTGGGTGCCAGGTCTCTCTTGTTTTAACCCGGCAGCTGAAAACCTAGCAGTTTCAGAGAAACTGCTATGTTTACACTGAGGGTTAATCCAGCGCCTGACAGCCACTAGAGGCGCTTCCGCGATTCTCACTGTGAAAATCACAATGCTTTCATATGGGCTGCTTGAATGCGTGCGCTGCTCTTGCCTCGCATGCGCATTCGGCTCTGATGTCGGCAAGGGGTGGAGAGTTCCCCAGAGCAGAAGGAGCCCGGCGTTGGAGAAAGGTAAGTGGCTGAAAGGGATTTTAACCCCTTCAGCCCAGCAGGAGGGGGGCCCTGAGGGTGGGGGACCTAATGACCCTTTGCATATAACTATGAAAAAAAAATAAGCTATAAAGCAGTAAACATGAACGCTACTTACTTTTTATGACCTTTACATTAAAATACAACCTCCGAAGAGCCTCTTCTACATTGAAACTACATTTTACCAATTCATACAGAGCCTGGAAGACAGAATGAAGGGTGGGTAAGAGTGTTAGGCAACATGTATAAAAAAAAAAAAAAACATCCCACACCACAGGAATGGCAGTGACTTTCTATCTACACTTTGTCTTAGCCACAGGTAACCAATGTATACATGACAACTTACTTTGATTTTAATTTTACATATCTGGGTTTAGAAACACCCGATATGTAGGATTAGAAAAAAAGCCTCTTCTTCCTGCAAGCCCACATGGTTAGAGTGCTGTGTTTGAAGACTCTGGCCTATACACCTCCTGGATGACGCCTATTACTACAGTCCCTTTCAATTATACTTTGTGTTAGTGTTTGTCTTAGCCTAGAAAAGTACATTACACTAAAGAGCCTCCATTTTGTTTAAATGTACATGGGGATTTAGGCCAGAGTGCAGGTAACGTTCTCTTTGTTTTTACTATGTATTTTATGCTGTTGGATACTAAGCTACTGCTGCTGTGTTCGCGGTGCTTTATCTTTGTATTAGAAAAGTACATTTGTCAAGTTATTTTGAATTTCAGACCACCTAACTGTATCTAGCTGCACCAGATAAGTAGTATTAAAACAAACATCTGCTAGCTACCTGGCTGACAAAATGCATAGATGGAACAAATGGGCAGGGGTAGGCAACCTTCTGCACTCCAGATGTTGTGGAATACATCTTAAATGCTCTTACAGCCATAATTCTGGCAAAGCATCAGGAGATATGCAGTCCACAACATCTTCAGTGCCGAAAGTTTCCTAAATCTGAACTAGGCAACTTAAAAGTATAACGGCCTTATAATGCATGTCAAACAAGGACGAAACATAGGAAGACACTTAAAACAATCAAGCATTTTCTGCTGCAGATCTGTTAAAGCTCTTTAAAAGGAAACACCAATGGAACCAATTCACCTGCTCACTATCCCTGATAATCCCCCTCTCTCGATGAAGTCCATGTGCATTTCTTTGCTGATACTCTGCTGCCCGGTTTAGGAAACTCTCAACCTCGGTCTCTGGAAGGACATTTGGATCCCAAAGTAGCTGGTCCTTTTCGTCAAAATCTATTTCATAAAAGAGCACACAAAAACTTTTATTTGCAATATATTAAAATGCACACCATCAGTCCAAGAGCAAATGCATGGACACATTTACAATATTTAAAAAGGGGAAATGTAATGTGTAGACGACACTGGGCAGATGAAGGAAATGCTAAAACAGTATCAATACAGCTATTAACATTGTGCTCTATATACAAAGAGAACACATTTTACATTATTCTAGACACACATAGAAAACATATGCTGCATTTACACAATTTGCAGGATCCATGCATTAGAAGTGTCCCTATTAAAAATGGTATTGTACTCTGAACTGTGTGAGATTTTACACAGTAGACCACTACTCACCTCTCTCTTCTGCTGGTGTGTAGAGCAAAAATGGAAGCTCAGCCTGAGATCCAAGTATTTCCTGAAAACCAGAACAAGTTAATATATGTGTTTTATTTTAACAAAAAACAAAACAAAGGATCAACCAAAACCCAACTACGTATGTAGACTGAAATGTTGGTTAATGGGGGGAGACCTTTGTATGTTTTAAAATATTTTTCACCCTCTTTCCACTTGTTTTTTTTAAATTTAAAAGCAAGTTGGGGAAGGGTAATCATTAAAGGGACACCACTGAAAATACAAAAAATATTACTGTTTAGTAGATATACCCAAATGAAAATGTGCAATTAATAATGGATTTTTTTTTCCCATTTGTGTACCAAAAAAAAAAAAGTTTGCAAAAGCTGCACGCCATCCCCTTATAACCCAGCCCAAACTGTGGATCCATGGCAGTCCAATTAAAGACTTCCCCATGCAGTTCAATGAGAGGGTTGTGTCTCAAGTTTAGCTCCACTGAGCTAAGCAACCAGGAAGTAACAGTTATGTTTGATTGACAGCCATAGGGTGTAACAAGTATAATTTTCTATTTCTATTGAAATCTGTACTTTTTTGTAATATTTTTAAAAAATTAATAATTAGCAACACGTTGGCCCTTTACCTGGGTCCCCGCCAGGCTTTATTCTGGCTTCTGCAGAACCACAAAGGCCAGATCCATTGCAGTTCATTGGCGGAGAGGGTCTGCTAATCGCTCTCAGACAATGATTGATATTCTGTGCAATGAAAGTTATACAGAATTTATATAAGCCAGCCCATAACTCTAGTTCCAGGCTGGCTGATGACACGCCAATGACCCTGCCAGAGGTGGAGTTACACCCTTTAAATTTGTAGTTAAAAAAAAAAAAAAAAGGATGCCTTTGTTACTTTATCTCTTACCTCCTCTTCCAAAACAGGCGCTGACACCCAGTCCTCGGGATCTGTATGACAAAACAAAATGAAGAATTGATATTACTCTACAAAATATACAAACAAGGGAAGTACAGCCATAGTTGTTCTAACTGCAACCATCTTTGGAGTACATGACAATCCAATATCAGTATCAACAATTTTCTTATTTTTGTCCAGAATCACATGACAATAACCAAACCAATACCATCAAAATTAAAAACAAACAAACAAAAAAAAATAAAAAACACAGACCATATTATTCTCAGTATTCTCAAAATCAGAAAAAACTTTATGGTCTTAAAACCAGACTTTTTTTCTGGAACATGGTTCTGTTAAAGTGCAGCTAACACATTTACTTTAGGATTGTGATAACTGAAGCTTCATTGCTTAATGTAAGTGTAGGGTGACTTTTCCTTTAGATCTGATAATGGAATAGACCCTCTCAAAAACTACTAAAATAGTAGAATTTTGATATCAAATTGATGTATCAAATATCACACGAGATTCTGACTATATCCGGATGAAAGTAAATATTTCCATTCACCCTAAAATCAAACATGCCATGTAATAGTGTACTATAGTCAGGGTTCATTTTGATATTTTCCTTGAGCACTGTTGCACACTTAAAGAGACTGTTACCTAGCCCATGGTTAACAAAACCTGCAAAAGGCAGGGGCTTACACCAGCAAGTATTGTCAACCCCTCCCTCCCAGCACCAGGTCTGACTTTAAAGGAACACTATATAATATGTTTTCCTGACACTACAGTACCTGTTGTGCTGTTTAGGTCCACAGCCCCACTAAATCGCTTTGAAAAGGTTTTTATTCAGCTTTTCTTCCACACTGGTCTCACCGTGGCTGATGCCAAGTTACCTTGTCCAGTGAATTAAACTATGGGGACTTTTCTTGAACCATTACACAACCATCTCTCTCGATACACTAACCTAGGTATAGGCAACCTTCGGCACTCCAGATGTTTTGGACTACATCTCCCATGATGCTTTCCAGCATTATGAGTGTAAGAGCATTATGGGGGACGTAGTCCACAGCATCTGGAGTGCCGAAGGTTGCCTACCCCTGCTGACTAACCAATGCTTATAAGATCCTAAGGGACATTTAGATGAAAAAAATAACTTAAATCCCTCCCCCTTTTTCTCTCTCTTATTAGTCCAATTCTTTTGTTCGCTTTTGTTGGTAGGTCATAAAGCTGCTTTTTCCTATACTTGATTTATTTTTAATTTGCTTCACCAATCACATCAATTATTTTTATTAATCAAGCATTTAATTGAAAACATTATCTCCCTTCCCGTACTTACAATCAGCCGACCGAGGCGAGAGACTAGAAGAACCACCGGAAGGCAAAGAAGGAGGCATTTGATCAGATTGGGAAGATGCTTCCTCTGCTTGCTGTTCCTGTTTAAAAATAAATACTTAAATATGTAACCCGCCTATCTCCTTCACAAATTAGATCATGAAATGCTCACTTCATCTTAGTGGTCTGGGTGCAGTGGTACTGTCTTTGTTACTATGCTGCAATATTTACATTGCAGAGTTAAATTCTCTTCTAGTGACTGTCACACTGACAGCCACTAGAAGCGCTTCCGTGGCACAGCACTACGGAATTTGCTGGTGCTATATATAATAATAATAATGTGATGCGGAATCCCAGGTAAATAAAAACTGTAATTTTACTTACCGTAAATTCCTTTTTCCTTAATATGGTGGCAGTACACTAGGGATGTACTCTTCCCTGGGACAAGCATCTGAAATAAATTTAAATAAAACGATCCTACCCCAATAGGGATCGACCAATTATCGTCATTATTGTAAAATAATTATAATTTTTTTTTAAATAAAATAAAAAATGTCTATCTCCCCCAAGTTTACACACTCATACTGTGATCCTTGTTTGCAGATAGCACGGTCCTCTAGGGTAAACAACAGGCACAGTCCTTTGGTTTCCAATATAATCCAGGCAATTTTATTGGCAAGTCCACACAGCAACACAACTAAACCATAAATGTAACAGGTTTCCCCTTTAAACAAAACCTAGCTCGTCTGAGCACTGACTCACTTTTAATATCCCTCTCTATCAGGGTTAAACTAACAAAACTTATCATTGGGTTGCACCAACCTTATTAGATAGCAATACCCTGCTCTCCTTTCCGCACTCCAGTGCTCTTAGCTAGCCTGCTGCTTTCCTTTCTGCACTCCCAGTGCTCCAAGCCAAGGGGGTTTATTCCCACTGCTACAGCTGATTATCTGGAGCTGAGCAGTGGGTTGGAGACCGTTCCAAAAAACTCAGGCCTGGACCTTATTTCTCCCAGTTTTATGTAAACTGCGGAGTGGAGCATTGGCCCACCCTACTCTCCAAATGTTCCACCCCAGGGGCCCATAACTAAATTTTGGTTTGTGTTGCCTACAACATATACTCCCCCCGGGGTTAAATGTTATAGGCCTATCTGCCTTCACTTTATCACAATACCTACACAAACACACACTGCATTCATTATATACACACTACACAAACACTGCATTCATTAAATACACACACACTGCATTTACTATACACAAACCACACACTCTGCATTCATTATATACACACTATGCAAACACTCACTGCATTCACTATACACACACACACACACCGCATTCATTATATACTACACCAGTGGTAGTCAACCTTTTTCTACCTACCACCCACTAATGCATCTTTTTGGTTGAAAGAATGTCCTTACCGCCCACCAGTTTTCGCGCAAGTGCAGAATATTTTTTAGAAAGGAGGGTGTTTAAAAAAAAAAAGATATATATAATAAAATAAATAAATGTACGTACATTTATCTTTTTATTTCTACTTAATGCATGTTTATAATGTTTTTAACTTTATAAAGTTTAATGAGAAAACAAAGTAAATTGAAATTACCTTTACTAGTGATTAATGAGATCCTTGAGGTTGATGCTGGAAGACTAAATATTTGATATTTCGTTCGATTTTCGTAAGGAACAAATGAAGGTCTTCTCTATCGGTGATATTCAGACGACTTCTCTGTTTGCGCATAATATGATTTCTCATCTGTGTGTCAGCTACCCTCCCCACCCCCCCATTTTTATTTTTTAACCTTCCTTATACCAATGCCCAGTAGGAAGGCTGAGTTAAGTATCCAACTTACTATTACTTACTATAGCCCACTATAACAGACAGGCACACATACATACATACATACAGACACACACACATACAGACAGGCAGGCACACACACACACACACACACACACACATAAGATATACATACAAAGGCACATACACACAGACACATACTACACACATACAAAGAGACACACACACACACAACACATACATACAAAGACACACACACACACAGATACAGACAGACACACACACACATACACAAACAAACACACAAAATTTTAGTCACCCTCCTGTTTCCTACCTTTTAGGTGCAGAAGGGTGACTTTCCCTGGGATCCAGTGGTGGCTCAGGTGGATGGGAGCCAGAGTTCCTACTCTGACTCCCTGGTCTTCCTCCCGCACGGCTCTCAGTGTTAGCTGGGAGGAGTGACGTGCAGTCACTTTCTCCCAGCTCGGTGATGTGATCACAGGCCCGGCCAGCGCTGGGCGCTTTAACATTGCGACCGGGCCCCCTTACAATCCACATCCATCGGGTGGCCCTGACAGCATGGGCCACCGATGGAACCCTCCATATGCGGCCCCGGCCCGCGCAGCAAACCGGTGATGGCGGTACCCGGTCGCAGGGGTACCGCCGGCTCGCATCCGCCCGCCCGGTCTCTCAAAATTAGAAAATCCCTACCGCCCACCTGGAATCCTGAAACGCCCACCAGTGGGCGGTAGGGACCAGATTGACGACCCATGCACTACACAAACACATACTCTGTATTCATTATATACACACTACACAAACACACACTGCATTCACTATACACACACTCTGCATGCACTAATCAAATACTCTCATTGCATCCACTGCACACATATTCTTGAAAACATAAATAATTCCGACTGGCATGTATATTTTGTGCATTTACCTTAATAAAAAAAGATTTGCAAAAAAATAAATAAATAATAAACATGTTCAGTTAACAGTAGATTTGTAAATGAACAGAATCTTGGTATCGTTACGTTATCGGCCTGAAAGTTCACAGTTTATCCGTATCGGCTCTAAAAAAAATATATATCAATATCTGTTGATCCCTATCCCCCAATAGGTATAAAACACCGACCTGCCAGGATTACTCCGTTTGTATCAATAACACACCAGAGACCTACTACGGCAAAAATAATTATCAAAATAAGGGGGGGGGGAGGAGGGTAAAGTTGTACTGCCATCATATCAAGGAAAAAGGAATTTACGGTAAGTAAAATTACAGTTTTTCCTGACATATGGTGGCAGTACACTAGGGATGTATCAAGATTCCAGAACACTTTGGGCGGGACTTAGGCAGCCACCGCTTGTAACAACTTACGCCCGAAAACAGCCTCAGAGACAGAGAATACGTCTAGCCTGCAATCCTCTTGGTTCTATTTGAAGATATTTGATCTCTTTTCTGATCTTTTTCTTTTTTAGCGAAGTAAGGTGAATAGACCGGTTTTCCAACTTGATTAAAAAACCTGGAAACTGAATGGTGTTCAGACATTCTGTCTTCAAACTAATATGGTGACCAGGGATCATGTGACCAAGCTCATGTATGCCTTTCTTACAGTGGGATAAGCTTTACCTTTTGATATGGTAATTCAATACCTTTACAAGTCAGGAAAGAGGTAACCACTTCCCCTTATCTCCATTCCTCTCTGTTCCTTCTTGGCTGTGCTACTGAGCAGTCCCTTAAGCATTCATGTACAAGTAGAGAACGGATCAGCGCTGTGTGATATGAACAGACAGAAACACAACTGACCTCTTTATGCTCTTACATTTTATTTTTATATTTATAATTTTTATTTTTACATTTATTTTTATTTCTATTTGCATTTTTATTTTTATTTCTATTCTTATTTCCAATTTTATTTTTATTTTCGTTTTTATTTTTATTCTCATAGCTATTATTAGACTATGTATTTCTTTCCTCTTATTATATTTATTTATTTTCTTTTTTTACTAAAACATTAGCCCCATGTTCATATTTATCATCATAAGATCAGGAATATTCATTCAGTTTTTCATTTGTCTCTTTTGGTCCCATATTGGTCCCGTCTGAACACTCAGTATCCCATGGGCATTTGCGGCATGTTATGATGCCGCTCCTACTGACGTCAGACGGAGGCGTGCTAAGTGATTGCCGACCTCCGTCTGAATAAGAAAATCCCATATGATACGTGTAGCTAACCACGTGATCGCGGAGGTCCGCGATCACGTGACCTTACATCTCTTCCATCTTCCCTGCTACTACATTTCCCATCCTGCACTAGTGTCCAGCATGTGATCGCATTAGATTGCGATCACATGACTATTAATCTCATTTTTATAATATATATATATACTCGTTTTACCATTATTTACTATGGATTATTTTATATATTGTTTTTTTAACATGATGCATTTTCTATTTTAAAGCTTTGTATGATTTTGAATGATTCTGCATGTTTTATCTTAGGTTATAAAAGTATCTATGTACCAGGCTGACTTTTACTATTGCCAGTTGATAAAGCCCTGTGTGGCGAAACGCGTTTTGGCTATTTTATATATTTTATATTGTACTAATAAAGGAATAGTGGCTTTTTATAACAATTTTGCCATATAACCTTTTTTTATTTCACTTTTAAAATTTGTCATTACCTGGTCATATACCATCTTGGAGCCTACACAAGACCAAGAATCCTAGGTGGGGATTGTACCACCTATGCGGTTATATTGAGCAGTTTACCCTGCTCATCCAAATGTGAGTATTTTTATTCCTTTCTTTTAATTTAATTTACTCATATCCAGTGAGCACTATATTTTGCTTTTATCTCCTTTTTAAAACCGAGGGATCATCTTCACCTATACCCTACCAGTGGGGGACAAACGCCACTGAATGCCCAATATACTAGAGCAAGTCTATGCTCTAATATAGGTGAGTGTATTACCTATTTATTATTTCTCCTATCAACAGACAGTCTACACTATTGGATCGTCTTTGTTGTCTTTCTTTTTTCCATGTCTACCATCGAGCCAAGACTCCTCTAAAGATTAGAAGATCCATTTTCCCTATTGGACATACTACTACCATACACTTACTGGAACTTGTAAGAGAAATATACTAAATACTACAACCACTATTTATCCATTTAAACTTGCAATACCTACTATTTGGACTATTATTTTTTATATATTTCTCTTTTTTTATATATTTTTCTTTATTTATGTGTTAAACTGTTTTTATATATACATTTCCGTCTATTTGCTTTTTTGTAGCGCAACCTATTATTCTTGTTTTTGCCTTAAGCATTCATGGCCTAATTTCTATCATGGTGAACTGTGAGTGGGATTTTATAAGATGTAGTTGTTAGTTAGGTTGTTGTTGCTGCTCTTGGTGGTATAGTTAGTTAGATTGTGTGTCATTATTTGTATGTTGTTGTTGTTTTGTTTCTGAATAAATATTTGTTAAAGTAGACGGACCAGAGTTTATATGTGTATGCGTACATAATTTATAGAGTTTGGTAATTTACCACATTTGGCGACCACGAATTTTAGACTTCTACAACAAATGTTTGTGAGGCGCAATAACTACCACATTGATACATAATCTAAGAGAAAGAGACTTTATAGCATAGGATTCATTTTGTTGAAACAAATATACATATGTGTTTTGTTGACTGTTTTAAATTTGTGTATTGTGACTGACAAACATATTTTGTTGCAAATTGTAGCATTTATAGGTTTAACTTTGTTTCTGTACAGTTTTAAAGTATTGGTGATAAAAGGGGGAAATTGAATAGTTTCACTGCATTGGAACCTTTGATGTTTTTGCCATTTTTAATTGCCCATGTGCTGTATTGTCTCTCTCTTGTTGCAACTAACTAGAATGAAACTTAATCTATTTTAATTGTTTTCTTAGGTGTTAAATTGTGTGGCTTCACTGCATTATAAGTTTAAAAAGCAAACTTTTTTTTGTTGTTATTTTTGTCTGTTTGAAACATTGAATTCAGGATAGGAGCATAATGTTTGTGCATTATGACTGACAGAACGTATTTTGTTGCAAATTGTAGCATTTATAGTTTAATTTTGTTTATGCACCGTTTTAAAGTATTGGTGATTAACCCCTTAAGGACTGGACTGTTTTTGCGATGTTGTACATTTGCGACCAGGCATATTTTTACACTTTTGTGGTGTTTGTGTTTGGCTGTAATTTTCCGCTTTCTCATTTACTGTTCCCATACAAATTATATATTGTTTTTTTCAGGACAAAAGGGGCTTTCTTTACATACCATTATTTATATAATCTCATGTATTTTAATTTAAAAAAAATAAAAAAATCTGATGAAAAATTGAAAAAAATACATGTTTTTTGACTTTTACTTGAAAAATCTTTTACTCATCTACAAAAGCGAATGAAAAAAACTGCTAAATAGATTCCAAATTTTGTCCTGAGTTTAAAAATACCCAGTGTTTACGTGCTTTTTTGCTTTTTTTTGCATGTTATAGGGCTATAGGTACAAGTAGGATATTGCGGTTTCAAAACATACATTTTTAAAATTTATCAATAGTGACATTGTAACACTATTATCTGTCATAAATCTCTGAATAACACCCCACATGTACATATTTTTTTTAAAGTAGACAACCCAGGGTATTCAATATGGGGTATGTCCAGTCTTTTTTAGTAGCCACTTAGTCGAAAACACTGGCCAAAGTAAGCATTCATATTTGTTTGTGTGTGAAAAAAGTAAAAAAACTAAATTGAACGCTAATTTTGGCCAGTGTTTGTGACCAAGTGGTTACTAAAAAAGACTGGACATACCCCATTTGCAATACCTTGGGTTGTCTTCTTTTGCAAATGGTATGCCATCATGGGGGTAATTCTCATTCCTGGGCTACCATACGCTCTCAAAGGCAACGTAACCAACCTGGCCATTTTCAATGTAAAAATATTTGACCCATATATTTGACCTTGTAACTTTCAAAAATGCTATAAAACCTGTACATGGGGGGTACTGTTTTACTCGGGAGACATCGCTGAACACAAATATTAGTGTTTAAAAACTGGAAAACGTATCACAACAATTATATCATCAGTAAAACTGCTGTTTGTGTGTGAAAAATGCAAAAAAAGTAACTTTCACTGACAATATCATCGCTGTGATATGTTTTACTGTTTTGAATCACTAATATTTGTGTTCAGCGAAGTCTCCCGAGTAAAACAGTACCCCCCATGTACAGGTTTTAGGGTGTCGTAGAACGTTACAGGGTAAAATACAGTGTTAGCAAATTAAATTCTCTGGAATTTCGGCCTGGGTTGGCAGGCAGGTCCCTCAAATTGCAATCAATAAAATTACTGAATTATGTAAAAATATTACATAAATACGCACGTAGAATTTAAATATATATGCATATTTATATATTTGAAGTCTACGTGTATATTTATATAATTATTTATGTAATTTTGTATATGGACGTATGTATATTTCTTATTATTTTTATTTATTTTTATATACATAGATATATATACAAATTCATTCTAAGTGTATTTTGATATAAATATATATATATTAATTTTAAAATACAGTTAGAATAAAATTTCATATAGCTATATAATTTTTTTAAAATTTTTTATTATTATTTAAAAAATTTTTATTTAATTTAAATTACTTATTTATATTTTATAATAATATATATATACAATATATATAGTTATTATATATATTATATATATACGTGTGTAATTTAATTATAAGTGTATTTTTATATTAATATAAGTACATATTAATATAAAAATACACTTAGTATGACATTATATATATATGATATATAGACATATATTATATAGGTATAATATATGTCTATATATCATATATACACATATAATTATTATTTTTTTTTTTTATTAACACTAACTTTAATTTATTTTTTGATTTTACACATGCAGGGAGACTGCCTGTCAGCACAGACAGTCCCCCTGCAGGCAGCACTATGGACACCTATTGTGACCATGTGATCGCTGTGTTAAGCGATCACATGGCCACAGGGGTCCTAAATCAGTGTGGGGAGACTGTCTGGGCTGCAGGCAGTCTCCCCACAACCGGAGCCACGCTGATCGCCGCCGGGGGAACGACGGCGATCAGGTAAGTAGCTCTGACCGTTAGGACGGTTCAGGACCGTCATCGGTCGGCAACGCAAAAATGCCGATGACGGTCCTGAACCGTCCTCGGTCCTTAAGGGGTTAAAGAGGAAAATTGAATAGTTGCACTGCATTGGTACTGCATTGTTTTGGACGTTTTTAATAGCCCATGTGCTGTATTGTCTCTCTCCTGTTGCAACTAACTAGAACTAAACTGAATATATTGTAATTGTTTTTAGAGGTTACATTTTGTTGCTTCCCTGCATTCTAAGTTTAAATAGCAAACTGTTTTTTTTTGGTTATCTTTTGTCTGTTTGAACCATTGAATTCTGGGTAGGAGCATTGTGTTTACATGATAACGGTATTGGGGCTAATACAGTGTGGTGGCTATTGTTTAGCCAGGCTAACATTTCCATTTTTACACTGGAGTGTGTTTAATAGAAAATGAACAGTTTGTATTTGAGGTAAATATTATGAAGTAAAGGTGCCTATGTTAGATTGTTATATGGTTGGGAATTATCATTGTGCTGAAGTTACAGTCAGGTATTTACCAGTTCCCATATCTCCCTTTAAATCATTCTGTTTATCTGTAAACCCCCCACACTGCACTTAAACAAAAGGCAGAAGGGTGGTTTTGTGTTTTGCTATCTGTGGGCATTTGTTGTATTGAGACTGTGAAGTTTTTTTTTTTTTCTTAAAAGACAAGAGTTTGTTTGAATAGGTTAATGTAATTAAGTTTCTCAAATGGTTCAATCTCTTTGGAGCCAGTTTCAGTTTTTTTTTTAAATTAATCCCATTGTCCCAAGCTTGTTTTTTTTTTACTTAGTCTGCTGGGCTATTTCGATTAAAGACTCAGGGAGAGCTTGGTTTTAAAAGGTCATATCTAGGTACTAAGTATTTTTCTGCAGAAGTACTAGAGTACTTCAAGAATGACATTGACAAACATGATGGACCATATGAGCTTCCAGAACCAGCAGGCCCCAATTGTGGAAAATATGAAGGTTTCATGGATGTTTTGACACAAATTGTTACTAATAAAAAGTGCCATATTAAGAAAATGAAAAGCTTGGTGGTACAAGCGGTTGTTGCTGCAATAGGGGGTTTGGCAAGCATGGTACTCAAATTGCAGCAGGCTAATCTAGTAACCACTAATAAAATGGAAGATGCTCTTGATGAAAGAGATTGTTTTAAAATAGCTGCCCTAAGAACAAACAAAATGATCGAGGGGTTGGAGAAGGAATTAAAGGAAATAGAACAGAGAGATGCATATAGTGCTAAGATCACTGAACTCCAAAACCTAGTTATGGAATATAAAATGAAAACTAAAGAAAACATAAAAATGGGATAAGGAGATTCCTAAAGTATGCCCAGGCTAGTCTCATTTTATATCTAAAGGTACAGAACCAGTGCTGGGAACCAAACACAAGGGAAATGCGCCAGTTGTTAACTGTGTCCCACAAGCCCCTTTAATAACTGAACACTTTAATGCAAGAGAAATGGCTACTAGTTTCTCTAGACAGACAAGCACTATGTCCATCACAGACAAAGAAAATTTCCAGAAATGGTGGGGAGGTATGCCAAATAACTTTAATACTTTTACACACTGGTTTATGAGGGGAGCAAATAGAGCTAAAAAAGGAGGTTTTAACTTAGAGGAATGGACAGAACTTTTAGAATATGCTATGGGTCCTTTGGCTAGTAGACTATTGGGATTCAATAACAGTGTGTCTGATCAGGCAGGAAGAATTGCTGCAACTAATTTCTATCTACTCAGCATAGAGAAAGAAATAGCGAATATTACGATGAGGCCAGCAGATAGTCCTAGAGAGGTAGCTCAAAAGGATATTTTTCTGGTATACACCACGCCAACCTCAACAGCCCCTGGTGTTGGGCTCACCAGAACACATTGCTAAAGTAATGGAAGCCCTTCCCTGGGAGTGTCAAGAATTTGTCAGGCTTTTTGATCGAACACCAGCAGACTTAGAAATGCTACTAACTAGAGCTGACAATTGGTGGATTAAACATCCTTTCTCAGAACAGGCCTTCTCTTTTTCAGCCATAAGAACATTCAAGGTTGACTCTGGTAGAGATTTAGATGGTAAATGGAGAAGCCAGAGGTGGGATGTACCCCAGAACAAGAGGGATAATGAGAACTGGAGACCAAAACAGGACTTTGACAAAAGATGGAGAGATCCACAGAGGGACCATAGGAATAGGGACAGTTCTAAAGGAAGTAATGTAATGGGAGATAATTGGAAAAATAGATGGGAGGAGCCTAAGGTAATCAATAATAATTGGAATAATAATAATACCTGGGAGAGGCTAAAAAGGAGAGAACTGGGAAAATCACAGTTGGCAAGAAAAACAACAGGAACAGTTATTGGGAGAATAATTGGAAAAGGAACCAAAGATGGGATGAGCATCAGACCAATAGACGGAATTGGGATAATTGGAGGAATAAAGAAGGGAATAGAGACTACTGGGACCTAAAGAGACAGACTGAGAGATTGGAGGCAGACGTGAAAGCGCTTAGGGAACAGATGAGGGAGGGAAATACTGATCAATTGGGGGTTCCCAGCAATGAATAACTCCCATAATTTTTGTTGTCCTCTACATCTGTATGTATGTTTGTTTTTTCTTTTGTTTCTATATTTTATCTGTCTCACCATTATCTCGTAACACTCCAGGATAAAGAGGACCTTAGTATGTATTGTTTTTTATTATATATATATATATATATATATTTTTTTAGTCATAGTAAGGATAAGCCTCTAAATTCATTCATTACAGTCAGGTGGGCCAAATTCCAAATAATCTTTGTTTTTATTAGTTTAGCACTGCCAGCTATGTTTTATTTATTTTTTGATGCTGGATTAATAATTATAAATTCATAGATTAAGTGAATTGTTGCCAACGTGAGGCTTATATTTGATCACACTGGAGAGATGTGATAGTGTAACTTTCTGCTGGTTTAAAACAGTAAAAACATTAAAAGCATTTTTTTTATTTGGTTCCCAACAAATATAACCTCAAGTTGATTTTTGATTAGCAACAGACAGTTTTCTATAGATTGCACGCTGCCAAACTGTGTAATGGTAGCATTCAATCTATTTTTTTTTCTTCTCTCTCCATCTTTGATGCTTTGTTTTTTTTTTTTGTTTAGTTTTTTGTCATTAAGAATAAAGGGAAATTAGATTGCTTTGAGTGAAGATGGCATAAATAATAAAGTGACAATGTATGCTATTTGTTCTATTTGGCTATCTGCAGGGGGTTAAATAGTTATGGGTATGAGAATTTGCACCTACGTTCAATTGCGAATACATTTTTCACCCTTACATCTTTCCCACTCACGTTCATGTATAATAATTTTCGGTTTAAACTATGTACATTTTGTGATTATTGCATGTATTCATCAGTAAGTTAGAAAAAAAATAATATGGTTTTGTGTTCAACTCTCCATCAAGTGTGGAGTAAATGTCTAAATTAATCAAAATTTCAGGAGACATTTGTGGGTCTTTTACATACCTCTAAAATGTAAACATAGCCTTAAGACACCACAACCAAATAGATTTTATTAGACAAAACTAAATAAGCCTTTGACACAAGACAATATGCTGATTACTGTTGTAGATATTTCATTGTCTGTGTTTGATTCAAAGAACATTTTAATTGGAAGGCCCAGAGAGGCGAAGGTAACTGACATGTCCTGTCACAGTTTACTATACAGATGAAGTGCTGGGATTACCAAGACAAACTATTATCCTGAAAATGGATACTATACAGATGAAGAAGTGCTGAGATTACCAAGTCAAACTATTAACACAGCCCAGAATGAGGGTAAAGTAACAGCAAGAAGCAGGAATTTGTGTAATTTCAAGGTGGTCACAGAATGAGTTTACCCTACACTCATGAACTTGCATGTGTCATTAAACCTACAAACCTCAAGCTTTGTAATGGATTGGCAAAGACAATATTCAAGGAGAGTTCATTCTAAACTCACAGCTATCAAGCACACAGATCAGTCACAGTCTTCAGATTCCAGTCCCAGGCGAAATTAAACATCATAGTGTGTCATAAACTAGTGATAATTACTGTATGGGGTTGATTGTGTCTAGATATTACTACTTCACATGAACACATTACCATATAATATTAATGAACTACCAGGGTTCTTACCAACACACTTGGACAGTGGTTAATTTAAAAATGGAACAACTGAAAACAATTGAAATTGGGGGAATGTGGGGTGATGCAACCCCTGTTTGACTATATTCTCTCACTTTTAAATGTGCTCAACATAAGAGAAAAAAAAGTGAGGGAATGTGGTGACATTCTGTCAAACTAATATGGTGACCAGGGATCATGTGACCAAGCTCATGTAGGCCTTTCTTACAGTGGGATAAACTTTACCTTTTGATATGGTAATTCAATACCTTTACAAGTCAGGAAAGAGGTAACCACTTCCCCTTATCTCCATTCCTCTCTGTTCCTTCTTGGCTGTGCTACTGAGCAGTCCCTTAAGCATTCATGGCCTAATTTCTATCATGGTGAACTGTGAGTGGGATTTTATAAGATGTAGTTATTGTTAGTTAGGTTGTTGTTGCTGGTATAGTTAGTTAGTTAGAATGTGTGTCATTATTTGTATGTTGTTGTTGTTGTTGTTTTGTCTCTGAATAAATATTTGCTAAAATAGACGGACCAGAGTTTATATGTGTATGCGTACATAATTTATAGAGTTTGGTAATTTACCACAAATGATTCTGGTTGGTTGAAGTTGCGACTTTTCTAGGGTTATGACCCAACCATGCTCATTTAATATTCTGTGTAATTTACATCTCTTACCAGAGCGTTTCTTGAACTTGCTTTGATAAACCAGTTGTCTAAGTATGGAATGATGGCAATACCTTCTTCCCTTAGGACCAAGGTGATAGGAGCTAAAGCCTTCGGGCTTTGAACTGGTAGTGATAAATCTTGCAACCCTTTTTTATAGCAAACCTTAGATATTTCTTTGAGACCTTTTTCATAGGTATGAGTAGATATGCATCTTTTAAATACAGTGTAGCCATCGGGTCTCCTTTCTGCAGTGTATGCGTCACAGACGCAATAGTTTTCATTCTGAAATGTGGATATGGTATCATGCAGTTTATACCTTTCAGATCTAGAATGGGACGGAAGGACATACCTTGTTTTGGAACCAGCGAGAGTAAACTCCTTGAAATGCTCTCTAGGACCCCTTTTTTTTTAATAGTGTCACCGTGGCAAAAAACAGAGCTTGTTCTTTTAATTTTGATTGGTACAAGAATACTAGGAAATTTGGTCTTGGAGTATGCGAGAATTTGATTTTGTACCCCTCTGCCACTAGATTTCAAATCTATTGATTTGTCGTGGTTTGTCGCCTTATCCTTCCTTATGGTGTCAGAATCCCTTAACTATCGGTTCTGATGTCTTTGCGGTTATCGAATTTTGGATCTTATCTTTGTCCATGAAAAAAAAAAACGGGATCTTTCTTGATATCCTCTACGTTTTTTATACTGGAAGTTTTTATATCCAGGCTTCCAGGAAAATTTCCTGTCTTGAGGAAGGGCCTTTTTAGTTTCTGACATCTGTCGAATCAATTCTTCCAATGGCGATCCAAATAATTTCTTCCTTTCCAATGGAAGTTCACAGAGAGCTAAGGGCTCTCCAAACTTTAAGCCACATGGCTGTACGGGACACAGAGCTTAATCCCATTATACGAGCCGAGCGTTTGACCACTTCTGTGATCATATCCAGAAGACACTCAGACAATTTAAGATTTTGGAACAGGTGAGCAAGATCCATGTCTTGTTGTTCTGCTAGGCAATATTCTATTTACAAAATATAGTAGGTTTGAGCTTTTGCTACGAAAGCTCCTGCAATAGTGGTCTTACTTTGAAAACCAGCTGCTTGGTAAGCCAGTCTGCCAGAGGTTTCAGCCCTCTTATCTATCGGGTCCTTTAAAGCAGACACTTCCCCAATAGGAATGATTTTTTTTAGACAATTGAGCTATTTGTAAATCAACAACTGGCAAGTCTTCCCGTTTGTCTTCTCCTTGTACGGTAAATATTTTCTTGAAGAGCCTAGATATAAACACCCTTATTTCAGGGTTTTTCCACTCTATTCAAGAGTTCCTTGAATTTGCTGCTGCACTGGAAAAGCCTTTTAATACCTTCTTCTGAAATATTAGGTATGTAAAATTCACTTCCTTCAATCTTCTTAATTCCTCGTGTGGGAATACAAATTCCAGTAGTAAAAAAAAAAAAAAATCACTGGATGTGACTGAATAAGCAGACACCAAGCATTCTCCAGAAGACAACTCAGATCTAGATGAGGATCTTTTCCGTTTATGCTTTTTCGTGGTTATTACTTGCACAGGAGCTGGCACATTTGATGTTGCAGACTCTATGAAGGATTCAAATGTTTGAGCAAGGTTATCCTGAAACCAGGATAAAAAGGATTTCTTGTCCTATTGCATGGATTTTTCCAGCGTTAAGGACGAACAAGGATTGCAAACTTTGTTCTTTGTACCATCTGGTAGAGGTGTGGAGAATTCGCTACATACCATATGTCTTGTTTTATATGTAGCTTTTTTAGGCACTAGAGTTGGCACTTTGTCTTTATCTTTTCAGGAGAGACAGGACTAAACATAGCTGCAAAAAACAAAACATGTATATTTATTTTTTCCCTTTAAGAAGCTGATAAAAAAAGCATAGCAGAGATCTTAACGTTTGAGATGAAATAATCTCACCTCTAAAACCTCCGGCCCGTGTGGAGGGGCTGGTGACACCGAGATCTGTTCTGAAATAAGTAAAATTTCGGAAGTTCAGATCGCACATGCGCAGTAGTGCAATTTGAACTTTGGTGGAACACACAACCTCCTGGGCGTGCGTTCCAGCACTGTGCGCATGCGCCCTTCTCCGGGCAGTGATTTGCTGCTCCTAGGGACTTCCTTCTTGTTCCACTGGTGGCCGCACTCGACATAAAACCAGCAGCTCCTACCTGCTCTGTAATCCTGCAGGTTGAAGCGTGGCCACTCAGCTCTCCACCTGGGAGGCTAGCAGGCCAGGTCCCCCAGGTCAAATGCTCATCCATTCCTGTTGCAAATAGAAAGAGAAAGGAGGGATCCTGGCAGGTCTGTGTTTTGTACCTATTGGGGGAGGACCATTTTATTTGAATTTATTTCAGATGTTTGCCCCAGGGAAGAGTACATCCCTGGTGTACTGCCACCATATGTCAGGAAAATCATTAATTTTATTACGTAAAACAAATGACAGGTTTGTATTCCTAAAACGTTCATGTTCCTTTAATGGACTGACAAACACTAAAGGCATTTCCTCAAAAAGATCTTCATATTGGGTGTCAAATTGGGAGGATGCCGAAGTTAATTCATCCGATTGGGGGAAGAGTGGCATTTGCTTCATAGGTAACCAATGCTTCTCTAAGATTGGAGAAAATTCATCAAGGGCGATGACTTCACCAGAGGCAAAGCAGCTGCTCTGATGAGACTGCTCTGGATCTGGATAGCTGGTATATTTTATGGATTTATAACTTTTTCCAATTTATAAATAAACCAAGGGATACACTAATATTAAAGTTATATATTTACCATTTTTAAATAGAGCAGTTTAAAAAAAATAATAAAATAAATAAAATAAAAAACAAAACACTAGCATTAGGATTACAAACCCGTATTCGTAATGTTAGTGTCCCTCTCCCTTTGTATACATAGCATACCCATTAAAAATTAATAAAATAAAGCTTTTTACTTATCTTTTTCCAGTGTCAAAACTTCCTCGGAGTGCTCACTTTTCCAACTCATGTGCCATCATCATAGAGGCATGGCCTCCTCCATCATTGGTCCATCCATCCTCAGAGATACATTGGGGACCTAATTCACACATGTGGTGAGCACTGTGCACACCCAAACGTATCCATAGGAAAGCACTATATTTAATGCTTTTCTATGAGGTTCTGTGTCACATGAACACGTTTGTGGCGGAACCAACCTCGCCACTATGCACTGGAGAAGCCTGGTTGCTCGCCTGCTCCCTTTAGACTATGGCCCTGCAGTTCTGTTATTTTCCCTGCTGAAAGGTTTATTCGTGCCTTTCTGCCCAGGTGTTCGGTAGATTCCATCTAGCGAACAAACTACCGAACGATGGATCACCTGGGAACTGGAGTGTGCCGTCAATTTACCACCCAGAAGCTGCGGTTAACCGCAGCTTAATTGATGAACGCTGGGTGGCCTTTGTTGGGTTGCCGAACGCGTGGCAGTGGCCATGTTACCTCCCGAACGGCCAGCGGTGGTCAGAGCCCAAACTATGGAACTGAAAACGGACACTTATTGGCGCGAACACCACTGAGCCGCCAGCCTCCTTACCTTCCCATTCGGTAGCGGAACCGAATGACTGTTCATTCGGTAATTTAACCGGATGAACAGCATCACCCCAGATAGCTAAGCCATGGAGCCTTTTCGTGTAACGAAAGACTATGTGTAAGACTTTGGCTCCATGGCGATTGAAATGTATGTATGTGATCTGAGCGCCATTCGGTAGTAATGTGTGCTCAGATCTCAGCTATCTGGGGATATGTTGAATGTATATATTTTATGTAATAAATGTAACTGTATGTAATTTTATGTCTTTTACTGGAAATGTATGTAATGGAGTTTTGCCTCTGTCCTTGGAGATAATTGGATTACTTCCCAATTATCTCCAGGACAGAGAGGAGGGATTGTGATACATTATGGGATTGTTGAAATGTGTAAGTCTGTGATTGGTTCTTGTACCCTTTGTGTCCCAGTCTCCCATCTGGTCCCCTAGGGGAGTGTCCACCAGGTGGGAGACCTGCATAAAAGCCGGGCAGTTAGCCCCAGTAAACCAGATTCTGCTTGACCCTCAAAACGAAGTGTCATCTCGTCTTTGGGGGGGATTTGCTGTATGCTGTTAGAGACTGATTGCCAGGAGTGTAAGCCGCTTGGGGGCTTTTCTTGTTCGTCTGCTAACAGCTATTCGTGTGTCTCCAGTTCGGGAGTTTGGAGTGCTACCTGGTATGCAGTTCGGGAGTTTAAAGTATTCCCTTGGTTGCAGTTCGGTAGTTGGTGAATTTGTGTGTTTGCAGTTCGGGAGATTGGTGCTTGCAGTAGCTGTCTGTGCAGCTGAGAAAGAGGAATATCGCCTAAACGGTTTTTAACCGCTTATGTGCAAAACGGTCCGTTACAACGTTTTACTTGATCAGTGCAGCAAAAGCACCTCTAGGGATTTATAGGAGACAGCCAACAGAGGTTAATATATCCCAGCAATATAAGGCTGTAAACATTACAATTTAAAAAAACAAAAACAAGAGAATGACAGGAGCACTGCACCCAGATCACTTCATTAAGCTCTAGAGGTCTGGGTGACTATAGTGGTTCTGTTTCGTTACTGTTAATTCATACCAAATTCTTACCAAATCTAAGCTTCCACTGGGTTGCTCGGTGTCAGAGTCTTTGCCCTCTGACTCATAGTCTGAATAAGGGTCTGAGTTTTGGTATCCATAAAATGCCAGCAATTCTTCGTATGAAAGATCTGCTTCTTCTTCCTGGAACACAGTCATTGGGATGAAATCTCAGAAATGGCTGGAAGTTTTGTATTTCAGCTTAAATAAGAATTCGGCATGGAGCAGTTTGCTTAATCTAATGAACAAAAATAACAAATCTCATCACATAAATATACTTTCTTCCTCACCTCACGCATGCCCTCATTGTCCCAGGATGACTTTTGCACGTCTTCCTGCTCCAGGGTCACAGTTAGTCTTAACCGTTCAATGGTTGTGGCCTTTGGAGGATACAGAACATATACATTATTACGGCACCGCCAATGGACAGTCCCAGAGAATACTTATGCTAGAGCTCAAAAAGTTCTGTGCTGCTAGTCAGGACCAAGTTACACAAAATGGCAAACCTCATTCTACTAATGTATGAGCTCTGGGAAAGGACAAGACAGCACTACATGTCCTCTGATTTAGATGTAAATCACTGCGATATTACGGGACCAATACATTATCACTTTCCTGTGATTTATTTCTTCTTTATTTCTTTTTAACAATGAAATATACAATACATGCATAATGAACATAGAGTAATAAATGACAAATATGCAAATTGCAATGTACTCCCAAAGATACTTTTGTTATATGGAAAGAGAACATCCAATAGATGCCTGTACTCTCTAGTAGCCAAGGCTCCGCTAAATACATAACATGGTTGTTGTGCTATAAGAAAGGATTTCTGGGGGGGGAGGGAGAGGGAAGGGGACATGCCAGCCTGTTGGATATGTGTAAAGAATGCAAAGTATGTACCACTGTTGTATTTGCACTAATTGGGTTGCATGAATATAAGTAGGAAAGCCCTAGTCCCCCTGGGCATATAAAGTGAGCTTATGCGTATATGTGGCTTTCTCCTGCTCCAAATAAATTAATCCACTGCAGGTTGTATGTCTTTAAAACGTGTTCTACTGTGAATGATTGGAAGTACATAAAAGATTTAAAAGAATCTAGGGTACAAGTTTTTTTTCAGATGCAACATAGTCCAGCCACAAAATACCAAAAGATCGCCATCGTTTCAAGTCAGTGTGTTTCGTTTTTGCAAAAGGGGAGGTATAGTTCTTGAATATTGTATAGAGTGTGAAGGTCATTAGGACGCTAAACGTCTAGATAGTAAGACTGGATGTGCATATGTAAAATTATCATGTATTTGACTCAAGAATTTCTATTCTATGTTAACCGGAAGCAGCTCAGCTTTGGTCAAGTTCAGTTTATTTCCTGAAATCGTTGAGTATCTGTGTAAAAGATTTAGTAAGGCCACCATAGAGGCACCTGGGTTTGTTAGAGTGAGATGAACATCAGCATAAACAGCTACTTTAAAAGTCTAGTATATAAAAAGGTACTACTTTAAAAAGTCTAGATATCTGCTCAAGGGATAATGCGAAAAGAACAGTGGGCATCCCTGTCAGGTACCATTTGTTATAGGGAAGGAAGGAGGAGAGATATTTGGTTGTAGCAGAGATCTCTGTGGAGAGAGGCAAGTGGCTTGGAGGAAATTTAGTAATCCTAACAGGAATTTGAGAAGGGTAAGAACCTTGAACAGGAAAGGCCATAGCAGATGATCAACTCCCTTTTGGCGTCTAAGGAGATCAAGGCCATCGGGAGATGTTAATGGTGAGCGTGCCAGATCAGGTCAATACATCTGCGCGTTATCATCAGCCTGTCTGTTCAGAATGAACCCAACCTGATAGGGATGTACCAACGCTTCGAGATATGGATTTTGTCTGTCAGATATTACGCTGGTCATAATTATCTCAACATTTAAAAGTGAAATAGAACGATAGTGTCCAGGATCACTATAGACTATAGGGTGACTAACTGAACATAATCAAAACAAGATTAGGTAGAGTAGCACAAGAAATGTTCAAGCGTCATAAATACTTATATTTATATATTCTAAATGTATTTATATCTATTATGAATGTATATATGTGGATTTATGACACTTTCTTGTGCTACTCCACCTAATTATTCTTGTTTTGGGATAAGACATAAGTTGGCATTGACCATGTCAGGGTTCACCACTAACTATGGCATTTAAAACCGCACAGTCGTGTCAGTAAGGGTTCGGTAAACACTTAATAACACAAGGTTGTAAAACCATCTGGGCAATGACTCTTCTTGGGTTTAAAAGAACCCTTTACATAGATTTTTATTTTGTCCAAAGTGTCTGCAAGTGTAAGTCTCTAAGGTGTCTTTGGCTGCAGACATTTGTGTGAGGTTTGTGGTTCTAGGCGTGATGATATCTGATGTGTTGAAGGCTTTTTAAAAAGGTCTTTATTTTTGTTGTGCTGGAGGTACATAACAATGGTTTCACTGCAACATAGTTGTTTGCATACATTAGCATCACGGCAACATAAAAGATGTCATATAATCAACATTTTTTTGTAAACAGGTACCAGAGGACTGAGAATTTAAAATGCTAGTATCACCAGGGGTTCGTGTGAGGCTCGGGGAATATATTGTACATGCAGTAAGTATCATGTGGTGGCTCCTTAAGTAATGGAGAGGCTACAGGATGGTGATTAGCAAACCCTGCTCATCCGGGGAGCAATAGAAAGCCAGGAAAAACAGGACAAGGGAGGTTGAGCCCTCATAGCGGGGAATGATATACATCACCTATTAGATTACCCATACCCTATCGGGCAGTGGGAGGGGGGGTTAGATGCTTGCCAGCGATAGAGTAGTGGATGTACTATAGTAGTAAGTGGGTAGGTAACTGCTCATCAGGGCCCCACCCACATCAGCTCCCATTTAGGTGCACATACATAGGTTAATTGTGCTATAACATAAGTCAAGCAGACAGGGTTACTGTAGAACCTAGAGACAATTGCTAGAGTGAAAGAAAATGTAAAAAAATGAATATAACACTTCACATCAAATTGTGCAATTGTGAGTAGCAGTAATAACAACAGGTGTAGCCAGGTGGTTGAAGATGCAGGCCCTCCAACAATAGGCACAATTGGCTCCACAGTGGCCGGAACCCATGTATGGGGTGAGGCTTGGTGGTTCACATTGGAAGCTTATTTTCAGGCGATGCTTGTAATATAAGCCCTGCCTCGAAAATAAGCCCTAGTTTAGATCAGCATTAGTTTGCTCTATGTTCGGGGAATTTTCTCTGAACATAGAGTAGTTAACTAACATATGGAAACCCGAGAATTTATATTCAGGGAGGTTTCCTTGAAGATAGATTAGTTTACTAGTGCATGAAAAATTCCCCGAACACAGATTTGCAGGATTCCATGCGCTAGTGAACTGGTTTATGTTTGTGGAAATTCCCCTGAACATAAACCTGCTTTCTGGAACATGCTTGCTACCACAGTGCATCCTCACTTACCAGCGAATTCGCTTTGAGACAGTGTCGGAAGAACAGTAGCCTGTAAAAATGATGCCCAGACAAGATAAGTGCAAAAAGAAAGAGCTATTCTGTCGCGTACAAGAAAGGAATAGTGATGGACTCCCAGGGCAAAAATCTTACGGCTTTCTGCAAAGAGAAGATGGATCTTCAAATGGCCTGAAAATGGAGAGCAGAGTACGATAACCTCAAGCAACAGGTGGACGAGTGACATGCCAAGAAGTGCAAGTGTGGATCATGTCAGCAACTATTATTTCCTGAGCTGGAATGCATCATCTGTGAATGGATTACTGACAGGAGAGCAAAGGCATTGGTTGCACTCACGGCTGATATTCAAGCATTTGCTCTTGCAATGTCACCACAGTTAGAATTATCCCCAGAAGAATTCAAAGCATCACCACACTGGCTGGATGACTTTCTCAATGAACTGTCTCTAAGAACATCGACAACACTGTTCAAGCGGGAAGATACTGAAGTTAATAAACGTGCACTTGCATTCAAGCCCTTTGTTGATCGCATCGACTTTTCTAAGTACCAACTCTCCAACATGATTGCAATGGATGAAACTGCAGTGTTCATGGGCCAAGGAACTAAAACGACAATTTATCAGAGGGTTGCCTCATCAATCTACATTCCCTCCATGGGTTACCTGTATTTCAGAAATGCATCTGGATGGAAAGAGAGCCCACCTTTAATCATCAAGGGCAAGAAAGATAAGACTGAATGTGTTTCAGGCATTTATGTTCTTGAAACTGAAAAAGCCTGGTGCACACAAGCAATTATAAGAAAGTGGGTCGATTTATTGCTGCCACTTGTTTTGTGAGGCGGTCAAAGAAGTCTGCTAGTCTGAGATTCAGCCAACCGCGCTAAAGACATGAAGAACTTCCTTGCAGAGAAAAGAATAGATCAAATAGGGATTCCTGTAGGAATGAATGCCTATTTCCAGACTCTTGATATTGCAAAAAAAAAAAAGCCATTCAAGGGCCATTTGCGCATAGAAATCAATGACTACATTGAAAATAGAATGGAGAGAAATCAGTGTGGAAACTTTGTGAAGCCTAGACTGCTAGAGGTCATGACTTGGGTGAAGAATTCATGGCATAAAATCACTGACAGCTGTGTTGCCAATGCACTACAAGCAGGCTACATGAATGAAAGGTGCTCATTTAAGGAGAGCTATTTTGCTTGAGATGAGAGATTGGGAACAAAGCTTATACAGAAAATGGAGTCGCAAGAAATTCAGGCCAGAATTTGGGGTTTGGAGATCTTTGACGATGTTCCAGAAGAATTGCAAACAAAGGAGAGATCCGCACTATCGTCACTTGTAGACCTCATTGTTCTGTACCTAGGGCTGGCAAACCCTCATTCCTAACAGTGAAGACAATCCAGGCACTTGGGATCCTTTCCAAACAGCAGTTTTATTAGAGAAACACGGCAAACACAGCAACATCTCAAAGATCCGAGTGTGGATCAAAACGTTGCTGTGTTTGCGGTGTTTCTCCAATAAAACTGATGTTCCAGAAGAAGACATGATTGTATTTAAATAAAAAAAATTTGTACCTTACATTAAATATAAGACATCCCCTGAAAATAAGTCTGTGTGTGTTTTTTGGAGCAAAAAAATTAATATAAGACCCAGTCTTATTTTGGGAGGAAACACAGTAGTATCCTGGTGTGTCTGGGTTGTGATGTGGCGGATGGATCTGCACCACTGTAAGGTAGCTCTGGCCAGGTCTTGGTAAAAGACCTGAAGGTTGTGAGTCCCGAATGTATAGGGCGTTTGACCACTCAGTGCTGCCAATCGTCTGCAAACAGTTATTCACCAGGCCTGTTTTGGTCATTTGTGCCGAGCTGGGTGGTGTGTGTCTGTGAAGAAGACTGGAAAGAGTCCTTCATATGGGAGAACTCTCTATGAATGTCCATTACATCCTTCTCTGTGACCCTCACACGGTCCATGATATTGGACATCTGTGCTTATCATAGCTTTTGTATATCGAGCAAAAGGATCTGGATATCCTGTTTTGTAGCAAGATTTCCCATCAGGGATTCAAGGTGAGTAGATATTGCCAAATCTTGCTCTCGGTAGGAGAGTGTCCCACTGTTGTCCTAGTGGGTCCGACTGCATTCTCCTTGGCCGCCATCTTGGGTTATCTACTTCTGTAGCATGGCACCTACATCTCGGGAATCAGGCACAGCCCTGGGTGAGGGCTTCTGTGTTTTCTGCCCAATGGTTTGCGTGGGGACTGTGGCTGGCGGACTGTGTGTTGCAGTTGTTGCGCAGTGAGTCCTGGTTAGGAAAGGAAGTGTTTTATAAGCCACACACCTGCGCCTCGGCTTTTGGAAGAAAGGAATCAATGGATGCAGGGACTTCTGCGGCAGAGAGGGCAAGGTCTGTCTGGGCTGGATGGCCCCTGAAGTGAGATATTTTGATCAGATTTGTGCAGAGTCGGCAAAAGCCGAGGCAGATGGTGTCCACGCAGATACACTGGTAAGCCCCGTCGCCAGAAGGCTTTTTAAAAAAATTTTTGGAAGCCAAGCTTATTAGCTTACCACATATAACTGTTTCATGGGCACCCCACAAAGTATCTGAAGTAACTGAGATGGCATTAATGCCAACGTATTCAGTGATGTCTTTTTAAATGGTTTTCACCAACATGCAGTAAAAGTGGATTCAGTCTCCACATCCAGGGATGTTTAAATTTGGGAATGGATAGTGCAGCAGAGATATCTGCATAGTCAGACCAGGTAATGGAGCCAGTCTAGAACTCAGTAATTCAGGGTACCAGACTGGGAGAAGTGAGAAAGTGATCTATCCGGGAATACAAATTTTTTTTAAACCTGTGCAACAGCATACATTCACCATTTCAGTCCCATTACCAAACTTTTCTTAATATGTCAGGGTAGTTGAACAAAAACATTGATTATATGCAAATGCATGTCTCCTTAAAACAAATGCACTCTTTTGTTTACTTTGAAGTCCTACGAGCGTGAGGACGTCCAGTGTCAGGCAACTTTTTTATACTGTACTTTTCAAAATAAGCCTATGTTTCTATGAAAGCTGAATTTTTTTATTTTTTTGCGGCACACAAACTTAATCTTTGGTTATTTGGCCTGTGTTAGTCTTTGAGTTTGACATGCTTGGTTTAAGTGGTCATACTTTGTGAGGGGTACTGGGTGCCAGATCTTGAAGAATTGGAGTGGATGTCCATCAACTTGCAGGGGCAAGTCACAGGCTGCTCACATAAGTGCTTTTTGATGGGAAAGTAATGTAATTGAATAATGGCGTCTCGTGTCTGGGTGGTTGTAACGGAGCTCCCTGTACTCCGACCGAGTACCCTCCGTTGATGGATGCTCCTAGCGCTTCCTGAGGTCTCCAAGCACTGCAGCAGACACCACAACCACCGCAGACTCCGCAACCGCAGTATCTTGACTGGAGTCTCGCCGTCTTCCTTCCACCCTGGATCAGCTTCTGTCCTCCAGGACTGTGTGGGAAAGAACTCTTCCTTCCACCCTGTATGAACCTCCAGCATCCAGGACTGTGTGGTGAAGACCCCTCCTCCAAGGAGAGTGTGTCAGGAACAAGCTCTTAAAAGAGCTAAGTGACTCAAGCTCAGGGGAACATGCAGAGCATAGCAATCCCCAGTGTGATTATAACAGCTCCCTCCAATAACGAGACAAGGCTACGTTTAGAGGGATCAAGAAGAACTGTCAAAACCTTTATTCCCTTGGGACCAGCCAATACAGACACCACAATAACATTGTTGTGAAACCTCAATAAAATCACAAACAGTCAAACCATATCAAGAAACACACAGTGACTTATCACAACACAATGGCACATTTTTAAAGGGGTGGGGGGAGACAATATTTAACAGTAAATATCTCACCTGCCTGCAGAATTAGCAATATGCAAATCTACCCGAATATGCAAATGAACCAGTCTTGCAATTCAGGTAGTGCATATTGCTGTTGCTACCAACAGAGGGCACTAGACCAGCTCCATAGCCAAACCCACCTAGTTGGTAGCAAACCTCAGCAGTACAGGAGAGAAGGCAATACATTTCACAGTACACACACACACCATAAACAATTACATTACACACACCCTGCACCTATCATGGGTACAGGGTGACTAAAACATAGGATAAATAAAGCAGCCCACATAAATAGTCTGTCTGAAGGTAGACTAGGGGCTTTAAAGCCAGATAGATGAAAGAGTCATAGTCACAGGGGAGGAGGCTGGCAAGTAGGCCTCTCCAAGACCAAGTGGCGAAAGGCACTTCGTCACAGTGGTAGCAACAGAAAAGTTGCTCAAGGCACAGTAGGCTTGATCTACAAGGTGCTCTGCAGGTGGAGCATCCAGGAGTGGGATATTATTTCAACTTGAGCAATTCTTAAGATCTTCTTGGGCATCTTCAAGCAATTTCACTTGCTCTCAAAGCTTATGTCTGGCAACCTTGTGTGAATTAGTCACAGTAGTGACTTTGTCCAACTTCTCAACTTCATATGTGCGCTTGGAAAGGTCGGCCAGGCCTTTTCTTCATAGGAGCAATGTGTTTGGTATATTCCATTTCCCTGTATGTTTTGAATTAGTGTAATTGATCCCTCATGTCTTTTTTGGTGAGAGGAGATGAATCTTGAATGTGTCAAGTCAGAGTACCAGTCTCCAGCATGTGTTAGATCTGTCTTCAGTTGGCTTTGAAAAATCAGGGCCACCATGAAGTTCTGCTTAGATTTTCAGCCTCCTCCCATATCGTTTTGAGAGGCACTATAGTCAAGCTCCCCAGGGTTTGTTTTATGGGTTCAGCTTAGAAATTGCCACCAATGTAGGCAAAAAAATGTGCCTGCAGTTATGTAGCTCTGAAAGAGATCCCCCATCTGTACAGGAAGGCAGGCCCTACCCCTTTCCTATGATTAATAATTACCGTTAAAAAGGAGCTTGCATCAATTTGAGACAACTGACATTAAAAGGTTTTACAGTTGTCTTATTCTCAAGGCTTAAAAAAAACAAAAAACAGGAAAATATTTTTTCATTTTTACGTGCTTCTTCCTTACCTTGAAACATCCTGATTTCTGATAGGGTGAGAAGAGCGGGAGTCCAAGTCTAAGTGTGACTCATGCAATGATGCGCTGTTTCTGCCATTATTGGACTAGTCTGAAACGGAGGTGGGTAGGAGATGAAGAAACTCCCCTAGCTGAGAGACGTGCCCAGCAACACAATCTGACTGTTTCTAAATGTTTAGAAGATACTTTTCATCTGTATTCTTGCTTTTTTTGGTTTGATATTGGTTTCACTAAATAATTGTGATGCATGTCCCTTTAAGTGTCCTTGCAGATTTACATACTCGTGATCTCTCTCCATTGTAAATTGGTCAGCTTCTCAGGAATATGCTGGCAGCTTGTTGCAAAATTTGGAGTACTCCCTACAGAGAGCCAATTTGAGATAGGCTTTAAAATGCGGGTGCCCACCTCTATTGTTTAATGTAACTCTTGGTGACTGCAGATATCGAAAGGTATTGTTAAGATGCTGCTGCTTTCAAAAATGCACTGGTTCAGAGACACACTCACCACTGTTGAATATCCACTGGAAAGTTTGAGCTGTGCTTATTCACTCAATATGTTCTGGAGTAAAGTGCTAGGAAATGTATAACACCCTGGCTAGGTTAGTGATATCTCAGACACAGAAGGATGAAGTAATGATGTTAAAATATTTTGTCACTTAAGGAAGCTACGTTGCAAGAATTCACTTAGCATCAAGGGGGGGGGGGAAATATCTAGTTCTAAATCATTACTAAAAAAAAAAAAGATAAAAAGAAAAATTTGAAATGGAAACCGTCATCTTTAATTCAGTTGTGTGAACACCTTTTTGTTTTTTAATTCATGATGAAGAATCGTGCGCAAACTGTTATTCAACTATACGGTTTACTACGGCTAACGCCAATAAAGCAGCAGGAAGTTATGGGATACTACGGCACTAGAAATAAGATTAACGAGTAGACCAAGACTGGCTGACAGATGTTGGTTACTTCCTTGAGTATAAAGAGACATCATTGCAGAAACATTTTTAATGCATTACCTATCCCACTCCATCCTTGGAGGAACGACTCCTCTTCTAAAAACACAGAATATGGTGTCTCCAAAACTGTCTAGCATTGGATGACCACCTTACACAATATCTACAAGGTTTAATAAGCTGGTGCAATATAAATACCACTAATAATAATAATATTAACTCACAATACTCATTCTATGCATGTTTTTTTCCCCCTTCTGCAGCTTAACACTAATTCATGCCTTAGTCTCTTGGTTTTAGAACATGAAGCATGGTCTGACACCAAACAAGCTAAATACCATGAGTTATAGATCTCTACTTATTTCTGTATTGTGCAGGAATGCTCTGTCTAAGACTTTTAATAAATGTGATGGCTTTATAATTAGACTCAGCATTCCTGTTGCTCTCTCTCTGCCCATAGAAATCCGTTGAAATGTGACATAGTTTTCTCCCCAGTCACCATATAAGCCGCTATGGGTGTGACCTGCCCAACTCTCCCTAAGCTCCCGTTTCCAGCGGGCTCTATGAAGGATAATGCCCGGTAGGGGGTTGTTATACTCAGAGCTAACCGGCAGGAGGCAAGTGCGGGGGGGGGGGTCATCTTTTAGCTCTGTCCACCCCAACAGACATGAACCCTTCCTGCCACCGTCTAGCTGACCTTATACTGCACAGCGCGTCCGCCCCACACGGCTTCCGACCGAGCAAAAGGGGAGCGAGGGGGGAGGAGGGGTGCCGAGTGCAAATCTCTCTCTCCCACCCTTCTATCCCGCTTACCTCCAACCGCCGAACACGGGGACTAGCGCGGCCCGGATGTGAGCGAGGAAAGCGATTGGCTTCTCGGCGGAAGAGAGGGCGTGGCCCAGGTAAGGAAGTCACGTGACAGCGGGAGGGTTGGATTCTGCTCTGGGAAAGGTGGCAGTGGGCTGGTGTTGGAGCCCGTTATTAGTCATTGTCTGGTAGTGGGTTCCCCTGGGGGGAGAACCTTGTGTATGTGTGCTCACTGGAGCCTAGTATTACAGGGCAGGAGGACTGAGCTGCTTTATTACAGTGCATGAGAGCAGTGACACTGGCAGAGTGTGGTCTTGTGCAAAGATATTTCATGGGAATAATGTGTCTGGGCAGGGGTTGGAAACTTTTTTGGGGCCAAAGCATACTCATAAAACACCCCTCCCACCCATGAAAAATTACTATTTTATCACGATAGAATCTTTATGAAATACTCAATCCAACTGTGTTGGGATTTCACTGAAATACTAACAGTCATGAGGTGTATAGAGACTTAAGGACTACTTTTTCTCTGTATATTTCATGCGCTTGACACTTCAAGACACTGGGCGTAGCTACTGCCCTCTAGAAGTGTCAATTCCCCAGACGTTATCAGTGACGGCTCAGGGAATTGTCTCTGTCTATGGAAGGTCTTGCTGGATCCTCTGTAGACCTCAACTCTGTACGCTTGTGCATGCACAAGTGTTCAGTGACAGACACGTCAAAGAAGATGGCTGCACTAACGAGGGACAGGTTCGTATACGTAGAACTCACCTTAACATGCACTTTTGGACCCCCAGCGGCAATGTCACCGTCAGGGCCGGACTGGGGATTCCAAAGCAGCCCTGGAAAAAAAAATCTATGCCAGCCCCATAAGTCATTGCGCCATATATTGTCGCATGTAATATGTAAGGCTATGTCTTGCAACCCTAGATCCTCATCCCAGGGTCCTATTTAGCCTTGTACTGCAGAGAGCCCCAGATGGAATTTTTTTCCCCAAGTAGGTTAATCTCATAAGAGCAGAAGAGCAGGCTGTTATTGTAGGACCTGCCAAAGATGGGGTACATTGACGTTGTGGCAGGCTTATGCAATGTATGATCATATAATGTAACTAAACCCCCATTATTTTTGCCTAGATTAGGTGTTTTAAAAAAAACAAATACAATCTTTCAACATTGAAGTTGCTGTTTAGTGGATAGGTGAGTGCGCTGGATCTTGTGTATTGTATTATGTGGCCCCCAGCAGCACCCCCATTTATGCATGTTCAGGTGAGTGCAGCCAACCCCCTCTTGTTTCATATATATATATATATATATATATATATATATAAACCAAACGGATCTTGCACTCCACCAATTCAATATTCAATGCCCGGTGCTTGTCAGCCAAAAATGCAAAAAATATTGCCAGAGATAGCACCCCAAGGACTAATATAAAATATAACTTGTATTACCTCCACTAAAACAACACAAGGTCAACATTTCAGCTTGATCCCCTCAAGCTTTCGTCAGGACATCTCCTGACGAAAGCTTGAGGGGATCAAGCTGAAACGTTGACCTTGTGTTGTTTTAGTGGAGGTAATACAAGTTATATTTTATATTAGTCCTTGGAGTGCTATCTCTGGCATATATATATATATATATATATATATATATATATATATATATATATATATATAGCTTTTTCCAATATAAAATATTGGTCCTTTCAGAGTAAAATTTTTAATTATACAGTAAGCATACTCACATGCATACACAGACAATCTCACTGACACAAGCTGATTGATACACAGCCTCATACATAAGGTTATTGACATAAAAACACAAGCTCACTCAGTAGCAGGCACACACACACACACACACACAAGCAAGCGCGCGCACACACACACAGCTTAATGTAGTGGTACTGGTGTCTATAGCCTGTCCCTGCAGGCTTTTCAATGTAAACACTGACTTTTAAGAGAAAAGGCAGTGTTTACATTGCTTCCTAGTGACAGACACTCAGACGGTCACTAGAGGTGCTTCCTGTGTCAGTGCGGATTGGCTGAGATCATCAAGCTTGATGATCTCAGCCGTAGAGGCAGGGCCAGGCGAGGGAAGGGGAGACCAGCATGACGTGGGGGAAAAAAAAAGTGAGTAAAAACACACATACATACACACACACACATACCAGACCGTGACACAGACAGACACACACCATGACACAGACCATGACACAGACAGCACACACACCATGACAGACACACACCTTAAAAAATACACACACATTGACACACACACACACCATAACACAGACAGACCGTGACACACAGACACACACACCACGACACAGAGAGACCGTGACACAGACACACACACACCGTGACACAGACAGACACACATTACATGACACAGACAAACACACACACACACCATGACACACAGAGACCATGACACAGACAGACACACATTACATGACAGACACACACACACACCATGACACAGACAGACCGTGACACACAGACACACACACCACGACACAGAGAGACCGTGACACAGACACACACACACTGTGACAGACAGACACACATTACATGACACAAACACACACACACACATTACATGACAGACACACACACACACACCATGACATAGACACACATTGCATGACACAGACAGACGCACACACCATGACAGACAGTGACACACACACCATGACACAGAGACACACACAATGACACAGACAGACACACACACACACCATGACACAGAGACACAAACAATGACACAGACACACATTGCTGACACAGACAGACACTCACACACCATGACACAGACAGACACACCATGACAGACAGACACACACACAAATGACACAGACACACACATACACAATTTCTACCTGTGGGGAGCTCTTCTGGCGGCCGCAGAGTGAGCTCCTTTGGCGGCCGCAGGGTTTGCTGGCTGTTCTTGCGGCCGCAGGGGGAGCTGGCTGTTGTGTCTCTGCTCCCCCTCCCCTGCGCGCCGATTAAGCGGTCTCATTAAGCGGCGCGCTGGGGAGGGGGAGCAGAGACACAACAGCCAGCTCCCCCTGCGGCCGCCAAAGGAGCTCCCTCTGCGGCCGCAGGTAAGCCAGCTGGCTGCCCGGCCCCAGGTGCCGACGGCCCACCGGGAAATTTCCCGGTATCCCGGTGGGCCAGTCCGGCCCTGGTCACCGTCAGGAGTCTTTGTGTATTCTGCCACTTTCAGTGAAAGAAAAATGTCCCAGACATACTTACTTTTTATTTTTTTTACCATAATAAGTAGCTGATACATTTCTAATTTGTTTGAAGCCTCACTAGTGAGCAGCGTTCATTTTGACAGCACTTTTTATTTTGCTTATGTCATAGTCTTTTGACAAATACCATTCAGTTTTAGTCAAATGAATAGCTTGCATTTTTTTTTAGTTGATTAAATATGATTTCTCTTTTTTAATTTTACAAAAATCAGATAATAGAAATTGGCACTTTTATAAATTAACCTTGTTACATCCTCTGGCTGTTAATCACACAACTGGTCCTGTTACTTCCTGGTTGCTTAGCTCAGTGGAGCTAAATTCAAGGCAAGCAACTGCCCAGAGCACCTGCCTTAGAAAGATTTCTCATTGAGCTGCATTTTGAAGTATATGATTGGATAGCCACAGAAAGCCTGATCTGGATTAGAAGGAAATGGCTGGCAAGAGCTTCAGGCAAGAGATCTGAAGCTTTTGTAAGCTCAATGGAAAAATGCATTATTAAGTGCATTCACGTTTTCATTGTGGGTTTATTTACTAAACTGATTTTTGTTTTAATTTATTTTTTTATTTGGGTAGTGAGGTGCCCCTTTAAGTTTTTCTCTAGAATTTCCAAATTTATTATACAGTTGTGCTTAAACGTTTGTATACCCTGGCAGAAATTGTGACATTTATTGCATTGATTTTCAAAATATGACTGATCATGCAATTACATGTTTTTTATTGAAGGATAGTGATCATATAAAGTCATTCATTATCACATAGTTGTTTGGCTCCTCTTTAAATCATAATGATAACAGAAATCACCCAACTGCCCTAATCAAAAGTTTACATACCCTTGAATGTTTGGCCTTGTTACAGACACACAAGGTGACACACACGTTAAAATTACAATTAAAGGTACATTTCCCACACCTGTGGCTTTTTATATTGCAATTAATGTATGTGTATAAATAGTTTATCAGTTTGTTAGCTCTCATGTGGATGCACTGAGCAGGCTAGATACTGAGCCATGGGGAGAAGAAAAGAACTGTCAAAAGATCTGTGTAACAAGGTAATGGAACTTTATAAAGATGGAAAGAGATATAAAAAGATATCAAAAGCCTTGAAAACACCAGTCAGTACTGTTCAATCACTTATTAAGAAGTGGAAAATATAGGGATCTCTTGACACCATGCCAAGGTCAGGTAGACTAAGAAAGATTCCAGTCACAACTGCCAGAAGAATTGTTTCAGGATACAAAAAAAATTCCACAGGTAACCTTTAGGAAAAATACAGTCTGCTCTGGAAAAAGACGGTGGAAGATCTCAAATGTGCAGTTCATGTTTCTTCGTCCACCCACTGTAAAGCGCTGCAGAATTTGTTAGCACTATATAAATAATAACATAATAATAATAATAATGCAAGACAACCAAAGACCTTACATGATCTAGAGGCAAGACGAATGGGCAGCTATACCACCTGCAAGAACTAGAAGCCTCATAGACAACTATTACAAAATACTGCGTTGATGCTAAAGGGGGCAATACTCAGTGTTAAGAACTAAGGGTATGCAGCATTTTGAAAAGGGGTTATTTAATTTTTTCTTTGTTGCCATGTTTTGTTTTATGATTGTGCCATTCTGTTATAGCCTACAGTATAATATGAATCCCATAATAAATAAAATAAATGTGTTTTGTCTGCTCACTCATGTTTTCTTTAAGAATGGTACATCTATTACTAATTCTTCAAGAGTATGCAAATTTTGGAGCACAACCATATAGTCCTGGAGGAGTAAACCTTTATTAATCTGTTATTACTTGTGATATTAAGGTCTGAACATGTATTGGTTTTGATATAACATGTCTTTATTATTTATCTTAAAACAAAATAAAACCAAGTCTCATAAAGAACAAGACTATGGCTTTGCTTTTTATTTTATTTTATTTTAATTTAACAAAAGACCAGTAATTA